ATCACACTAAATTATATAGGTCAAGAATTGAAAATAGGATGATAATAGATGAATTCGAAATTTCAACACAAACATCTCATACTTTAGTTTAAAATCATCTTAGTTAAGTAGTAGATAAATTTAGACATAGACATACATAACTTTTTTCAGGTTTAAAATTAGAGTTTACTAACGTATTAATAAAATTCAAATTTAAGATTTAATTCTTGTGAGACGATACTCTTTCTACGAAATTACTATTTGTCAACGATTCCTTGTGTGCGCGAATTTTGCATGAACCCCAGTCAGCTCTAAGGTGTCGGCTGGAGATTTGATTGTTCCCACGAGGTTGACATCGATTATGACTTGATCTTTTTACAATGAAGCATGTAGGGACATTTCCAAGCGTTATAATAATTGTCACATGGAAGACACCTTTTTACATATTTGGGAATATAGGAATGGATAGAACACTTCTCTCCTTGTTTATTATAGCAATTGATTATGTCTACTATTGTATACTAATGTATACATTGATCTTGTCAGATTGAGAAGAATGAGAATCGGGGACACTTTTATTCAAGCACTCATTTTAAACCTGAAAGATGATGAGACACGTCTATCTTCGACTTATTCCTCACATTCAAGTTGGACGCTTTTTAGTCGAAAGATAGCTTTTTAATAGAATATGAGCAAGTGTTCCCCAACCAGGAGGCGAACATGTGCTATAGTAGACTTTCAAAATTAAATAGAATATATTTCTTCATTCATTATGAACCACCGATTTCTCCAAAACAAGAGATCAAACTGACGTTCTTCATTTTTCCCAATAAGTAGACAAGGAATATGAGCTGGGCACAACAGGAAACTATTATACTAAATTACTAGAAAGTTGCTCCATTTGATACTAAACAATATTAGACAATATAAAGAAATTAAAATTTATCATTATTCAATTTTCGATAATGAACCACCAATTTTTTCAGGTTCATAGCAGTGAAATGTTCAGGTATCACCTACTTGGGTGGGGTAGGGTGGAAGATTTGGAGAAGTAGTAGATGAAAAATTAATTCTTTAAAAGGTTTGGCATTGTAAATGTAATAAATGAAAGAATTGTGTATAAAGTAAAATGATGAAATATTTGGGATTACCGTTGTAATTATCCTTTTTTTTAAATAAAATTATTTTACCCCTACTTAATGCCTCAACCAATGGTCGTGGCTGTAGAGCGGTCTTTCGTACAAAAAAGGTCATCTGGGGATTTTTTTCATCAAGGAAAATGCTATAATTACACAATGATGTACACACAATATTACATCCCCCTCACATGGAGAGGGATCCACATACAATAAAATATTCGTGACCCCCTCCACGTGATGGGGGTGTAACCCATTATGTACATCATGAGATGTACACATAATATTTGTCTTTTTATCAATCTAGAAGGACAAGAAGTATTCTGCAATACAGGTAAAGGTCAGTGGAGCTTTGTTCCAACTACCCTTTTGTTTTAACTACTCAATCTTATTATTTAAATTCTAAATGTTATTTCCACTTTTAACATAGAAGTAATACTATTAAAATGTAATTTAAAAAAAAAATCAATATAAGCACGATTTTTACCAATTGAAATTTGTAAATTATTACACAACTGGACAGCTGATGAGTGTCATTAACATTCATATTCTCCAAGAAAATACTTCTACCACATTGAAGATGACGGAAAATTATTGAATGACTAAAATGGAACTCTGGACAGAGTCGGGTCTCTCTTAACAGTAAGGGAAAATTTCATATGTAAGAGATTAAGTATGATCAATTTCAAAACTAAAAATCAAGGTTTAAAACTTCAAAAATCAGATACTAATTATATTTTATATACGAAACAATTAATAATAAATATAATTCATCAATTAAATATATATTTTATTAATTCACAATTTTATATAATTTGATCACAAAATTATTTCTTGATTACGAATAAAAAATTTGAAATTCACAAATTATTTCACGACAAATCAAAGTTTTATAGGTCACAATTTATTCATCTATTGTAAATAAAAAAAATTATAAGTCATAATTTATTTATCAATCACAATAACAAATTTTACAAGTGACGCCTCAAATTTTTAGGTAACATATTATTTGTTGGTTACGAGTTATTGATCGCACATTATTTATTAGTCACAACCTCAAATAATTGGTCATAAATTAATCAAGTTATTAATCACAATCAACAAAATAATTTTGACCACCACAACTATTTGTGACTATCACCTCCCATCGCACCGCACACAACATCGTCATTAAACACCACACCGCCAAAGCTACCCCTATCATATTACAATAATTGATCAACACAACTGCATACCACTAGAGCCACTACCACACCGCTAACACCATTGCACACAGTACCACACCACGTACCGCACCACCACAGCACTTGCATCACCATAAACACCTCCACCTATCCCATTAGCGCCATGACCATCACCAATGTCATCGCCGCACACAACATCAACGCAAAAACAATACCACCACCAACCAACCTACCCACACTGTAACCACCAACCACACTGCACCATATCGTCGGTGACAATGACAACCACCAATCCACAACCACATTTCCAAAACATGAATCCAATCATACCCAACCACTAACCACATCGACAATGACAACCACGGACCCAAAACACGAATCCAACTCTTTCAATGCCAAAAGCACAGCTTACTCCGCCTCAAACTCCGTCAACTGCTGCTGCAGTGTTTACAATAGACAACGTCGTGGCGGCATCATCAAGGGATGGTTGTGTTGCGGTGATCGAAGGTGACATCCAAAGGCGGACGCACCCGGTGGCTATGGTGGTCTAAAGGAGAGTGTAGAGAGAGACGGGAGGTGAAGAGAGAAGAGAAGTGAGAAAGGAGATGAAAGGTGATAAAATGATTTAGGGTTTGAATGGATTGGATGGAATATGATGTGTGTATATAAATTAATTTATAATATTATTATTAATATTTGAATTAATATCTGATTTTTGTATAAATAAAATTTAGATATGATTTTTGAATTGGGAAGTTAAAAGGGAAATTTTCATATTTCAGGCCTTGACTTTAGGCCAATTCAATTTTCAGATCACAAGTTTACTTTTTTCAAAATTCAGATGGTAATTAAAGTTTATTAATTAAATAAAAAATTTATATGTAAAATAATATCAATCTCTCCCCAATTCGGCCCATAGTCATCGACATCCGTTCATGGTCATTCCATTTTACTGGCGTCGGCATCTACCCATTTGTCGACATCCACACTCACAGTCACCAACATAAAAAAAGATAGAATCTATAGAGATTGTTGACAACTATGCATCTTCTTCAATTGCGAATAGATCATCGTTAAGCATCGCTTGCTTAGATAGTAAAGAGAGATTGAGAAAAATAGTGGTTTTTGAAGAACATCGACTGAGCATTATCGTCGGCAACTGATCATTTTCTTCAACGACGACAAAGCAATACTACTATAATTTAAAACTAATTTTTAAAATTACTTACCGAATGAAATAACTTCAATTCTCACCTTCTGAAATCTAGTTAATTGAATTTGTGAGCAGCTCGAACAAATCAATGGCATTTGATCAATTCCCTTGAATTTACATTAATTTATTGCTTGTGATATTGTTCTAAGCCTGTAATCAATTCTCTTGAATACGTGACCTGTAGACATTGATATATTACCGACAAGCCTGTAATCAATTTTCTTGAATAAGTGACCTGTAGACATTGATATGTTACCAATAAAGGCGATCTGCGAACTATAATCTATGACTAATTAATATTGACATGAGAATTATAATAAGTGATCTGTGAACATTTGTGATCTATACAATATGATATATGATATGTGAATAGTGATTCATGACCTATGAGCTATAGCATGTGACCAATTAATATTAAATTGTTAATTATAACTTGTGATATGTGAACATATGTGATCTATACAATATGACTTGTGAATTATAACCTGCGACGTGCACAATAACTTGGGACCTGTGATTTATAAACTATAACATGTGACTATTAATATTGACCTATTAATATAAATCAGTGATCTGTGATCAATTCTATTTTATCTGTGACATATGAACATTGATATGTAACCTACAACAAGTGTACAAGGACATGTGATAGGTTATCAGTTCACATGTCTAGCATGTCATAGGTCATTGTGCATAGGTCACAGGTCATTGCATCAATATCATAAACTATTTATTTTATTGGCCACAGATTAAACTAATTTATTGGTCATAAATGTGTTTATATAACCCCCAATCTAACCCAAACACCATAGCCACTACCATAACTAGAACTACCACCTCGAAATCTACCAAATACCACCTTAAAATAGTCAAGAAAAAAAAATCACAATCACTAACAATCACAACCTCTATTTCTATCACAACAACCACCCCCACAAAAAATCACAAACCCGTCGCTGCCACTTCCTCAAATCCATAGAGGACGCAAACCAACACCTCATTACAACCACCAACAATACAACCACCATCACCACACCACAAACGCAACAAAAAACCCAAAACCCGTCGCCACTATCATCTCAATTCCACAAAGAATAGAGAAAAGATTGCGTCCATCTTGCAACCCAAAACCATAACCATTGGAACCAACACCACCATTTTTGGCAGCCAATTGCAATTGATGGAACCACCTAGTCGTCGAGGCAATTGAGTAGCAATTGGATTGATTAAATGTGTAGATTAGAGAGTGGAAACTTGATGCATAGATTTACTGGATTAATGGAGAAAGAGAGTGGTACAGAGAGAGACTCGTGTGAGAGTGGAGAGATATTTCTGATTTCTGAAAGATTAAACTTAAAATAAGATTAATGAAATGTAAATTTAAAAAACAGGCGCTCATGTAATTTCCATGAGTTAAAATGTGTGTATAATTCCCACTAATATTAATAAAATCAAATAGAAATCTATAAAGCCCAATGTAGCAGGCCCAATCGTATCGCAGCACCGCTTCACTCTGTTTCCGTTATCGAATCTCTCTCTCTTCCCACTTGCGATTTCACCTTATAAGGGCTCGCTCTCTTACTCTACACACACCTTTCAAGCAGTGATCAACCTATATTGCAATCGAGTTTCTTACGAAGGAGGGAAGAAATACTTGTCAATCTCCATGCCTCGTAGCCGATACGATGATGATGACGATCTGGAGCCAGAGGAGGAAGAGGATTACGAGCCGGTGGACGAGGAAGATGAGGAGTACCATGACGGCGGGAAGGCTGGAAGGAAACGGACGAGATCGGATTTTATAGACGATTTTGCGGAGGAAGACGATGATGAGGAGGAGGAGGAGGAAGATGATGAGGAGTATGACGGCGGCGGTGGTCACCGAGGTAAGCGGCAGAAGAATCGAGGGTTGTCGAACTTCTTTGATGAGGAAGCACAAGTTGATAGCGACGAAGAGGAGGAAGAAGAGGAAGGCGAAGACGGTTAGTTTTTTTTTTTTTTGGCTGCTTTCATTTTATTTTACGTTATTGATTACTTAATTTATTAGTTTTTTAGTATTATAATCTGTTGAAAATTTTCTTAAGTGGAAGTTCTGTGATTTAGTGAGAATGAAAGTGCATGAGGCGAACCTGTAATTGTATCAAATCGAAAAATCTGAAAACTTAATAGTTGAATTACGTCAAAAGAAAAGAAATTAGGGACATAGGGTTGGAGACATTTCTTTCTATGTGTTGTGATTTTATATAAATCAATTAGTAAATCTGTTGAAGTTTTCAGTTTTGAGTGAATCATTGCAAATGTCAGTTGGTGGACTTGTTGAGTTTCGAGTATTAATTTGGGAGAAAAGGAACAATAAAGTGGCTGTGTCCATTACAATCTCAAAAAGAGAAGAAAAACATTTTTAGATACTTATGTTAGGACTATTAGGAACTTTATATAAGATTGTTCAACTATTAGAACTATTATCGTATTAATTCAATTATGTTTTTGAACGTCTGGGTAAAAATAATGATATCTTTTTCTGTGATTTAGCAAGGATTGAAGCGATTGGGCGAGTAAAGTAGTAGAATTTCTTCTATTCATAGGGCAGAAATTAGGTCAAAAGGTCTATGCTTTGGCTGTTGCTTATCTGAAAGGTGGAAAAACTGTAGACCGTTTCTTGAGGTCTCTCTTGTAGAGAGGTTATTGATTGATTGTTTGATTCTGCCTCTAAATTAGGTATGGCTTGAATATGATATTGCAACCTTCTTGTTATCATAGTTGTTGTGGATGGAACTTTTGGGAAATTTTGTTCTGCATAAATAGTGAATAGGTTTAAGTTATTTTGTTGAAGAGAAATTTGAGTTGAGGATTGGTTCTATAGCTTTTTAACATTTCTGATATAGCTTTTTAACATTTCTGATAAAGAATTCAAGATTATTAGATTGGTTAGTTTGCTATGTTATGGTTATATACTATATAGGCCAGACACCTAGTATATTTGTCTTTGCTTTATTATTATTCAATAATATTTCGAGTTCTGAAGATATGCATTTTAGCCTGTCAAATTTTTTCAGTTACCTGGAAAATTCCTTTCCAACTACCATTTTTAACGGTGCAAAATGTGATGAATTCCAAACTTATCCATTTGAGTAGGTGCATACTTGCTAAGTTACAAACACTTGTTCCCCTTTAGAGAAAACACCTGCAAGGTTTGTGATAATGTCCTTCTAATGTAAATCTTTGGTAACTTTTAAAATGATTTGTGGTCTACAATGAAGTGCTGTTTTTTGGTTAAGTCATCTGTTCTGGTCATCCACTATGGTAAACTTTGTTATAGGTTTAGATTTCTTAGTTTTTTGAATGAATTAATCATTTGCCAGTAGTGAAATTGAAATTCTGCAAATTCTTTCTGCATTCTCCTATTGTTTCACTAGGTTGGAACACTGAGTGGACC